CACCCAGCCTCGCACGGTGAGGAGGGGGGGGGAATTACAACCCCTCCCCGCTGCCCTGTGGGCGTTTGATCCGGAGAGATGCTCCGTGCTTTCCTTGTGTGCTCCCGCCTAATCCCGCAGCAGGGCCAGCTGGCACCGGGATGGATGGGAAAAGCCTGGGGGGCTGCCACGGGGGGACACCGGACCCGCCGGGCATCAAAGCCCGTGGCAAGGTCATGCATGGCAGCACCGGGGTCACTGGTGGCTTGGGATGTTCAGGATGCAGAAGGAAAAGAAAAGAGGGGATGCGGTGATGAGCATTCTTCCTGGGCAGGGGCTGTGGGGCTCAGCATGGTCTGCTCCTGCACCCAGGCAAAGCCATCGTGGTCGTGGCCATGTTCGGGGTCCGGGCAGGAGGGGGGTGCCTGCAGCCGGCAGCGTGGGTCAGTGAGCAAACACTGCTCTGAACCTCGAAATGGGCCTGCAGGAGCCTTTGGGCTGGCTGAGCCCGAGCCGGAGCAGAGAGGGGAGAGCTCGGCTCTGGTCCCCAAACGGCTGCTGTGCTCCCATCTTTCCGGGTCCCCGCAAGCCGGTCCGTGGTCCCTGTGCCTTGTCTGGCAGCCCCGGGTGATGGGCACCCCACTGCCTGCTCGCGGGCTGGGGAATTGCTGCCGGCTCATTTTCTCTCGGTGGCTCTTTGATCCATTTTGGACACCTTTCCAGTGGCACGGGACAGGTGGAGGGGGAGGCCAGGGACCGGGTCACCACAGGGGGACCTGCAGCCACCTGCCCCGGGCAGTGGGACAGGGTCTGCGGCAGCGGCAGGGACAGACATCGCTCCTTCCCTTTGCCCGGCACGCCGCCACTCCCTTTCCTTCTCCAGACACTTTTATGGCTGGTGAAACGTGAGCGCTGGAGAGGCTCAGAGCAGCGGCAGTCACTGCTGGGGAGAGGGATGGGAAACCTCCCGGAGATGGAGACCTCAGGGCAGAACGTGGCAGCAGGCACGGGCGAAAGCATCCCCAGGTCAGTCCCGAGGTGGGCACGGGCTGATTGCTACCAGCAAAATGCCTTCGAGCTGACTTTCCATAGGTGCTGCCTACTTGCAGGTGCCCGGGACCTGCCGCGGGAGAAGCGGCAGCAGGCAGAGGAGCTGCGGGAGGAGCAGGCAGGGACACGGAGAGGGGGGCTCAGCGCCTGGACAGGCAACGTGCTGCCTGCACCCAGCTCCTTCCTCTGCCACCGCTTCCCAGCATGGCCTTGGACACCTCCCTGCGTCTTTGATGCCATCGCACGCGTGGGTGTCCCACAGACCTACCCTCCCTCTGGGGACATGTCTGCAGGCAGCTGCCACGGGGGGCAGCCAGGCTTCCTGGGGTCACTCAGGCTTTCAGGGATTAACGGCAGACCCTGGGAGAAGCTTGGAACAAGCTTTGCGAGGAATGAAATCCCTTTTGTTGATTTGCCTGGCTCCTGCTGCCTGGGAGGGAGAGCGACATTGAGCACCAAATGGGGCGAGACGTTTGCCAACAGTCAGAGAGGGATTCGCGGGGAGTTGGCCGTCCCTCTGGTGTTCCTCCAGGCAGGTGAAGGGTGGATGAGACCAGAGCTCTCCAGGGACTCCTAGGATGGGGAATCCACTCTGCTCATGGAGCAGCTTTGCGAGGGATTCTGCATGAGCCACAAGCCCGGCTGGCATTGCCATTGCCCTCATCCCCTCTGTCCCTCCCATGTGGCTTCACCCTGGAGCAGGGCAGAGCCGCTGCTGGTGCCAGCAGAGCTGCTACGGAGACAGCGATGCTCTCTGGGACCCCTCAATACATGTAATCTTTGAAGCCGTACCCATAGGATGTCCTTATGGACCAGATCCTACCCTGAGCAGTTCCCTAAACCTGCTGGTCCTGAGAAGGATGAGACCACATTCTGAGAGTATTGACACCCCCTCAAGCCTCTCCAGGTTCCCCTGGGGTGTACTTGGCCCAGGCCGTGGCCGCGATGAGCATCGCCCCAGCGTTTCCCTCCAAATTCTCTGCTCGCGGAGGTGAGATGGGAGCCCTGCGTGGGGATGGAGCTCAGGCCGGCGGCTGCTCACCACTGATGCCTCCCGAGGAAGGAGGAGGAAGGGAACAAAAGGCAGATGCCCTTTCTGTCCTCTCCGTGCAGCATGGTGCCCAGGGCGCACACTGGGGGAGCGGGCATGGGCACTGCCTGCAGAGGGGGGCAGGCAGCCCTGTGACAGAAGACGCTGCGACACAGCCTTTGGGGGGACTATGTGTGCCTTTGGGGGTGTCTGCGCTCCTGAGCCCTCCGTGAGTACCGCTAGGAGGTCCCCCAGCACCCCAGGACAGAGGATCTCTGAAGGGTTGGGAACCCAAGAGATTGTGGGGTGAGGGCAGCAGGCAGGATCTTGGGGTGTCTCGGGGCAAGGCAGGGTCTCCTGGCAGGAGGAAGGCACGGGAGTATACAGGCAGGGACACCCCTGCCTGCAGCGAGCCCCCTTCCATCTCAACACACTCTTCCCGGGGCTCCTGCCCTGCTCCAGCACCCCCTGTCCTGCGCTGCCCTCACACCTGCACCCCCTCGCTCCCACCTAATTTCACCGGTACCCCGTAATACTTGGGGTACGTAGTGGGGACAGACCCTCCGTGGGATGTCGAGGGCAGCAAAGGGGCATGTGGAGGGACAGACCCCCGGGATGGAGGGGGCAGCACGGGGCGGGG